TTTTATAAATGAGACCCCAGGGCTCTCCTATAAAAGAGATTTCTAATCTCAGTTAGAGTCTGGTGACCATGAATGATGAAGACCAATACCAATGATGAAGTGATCTTACAAACAAGTATGATGTATCTTATTCCTCTGTGCCTTAGACCTCCATTGTTGACCCAAAAACTATTAAAGTATATTGGGTTATATATCTTACCTTTGACAGTCACTGAGGCGCTGTAGTTTCCCTGGTAGTTGCTGTCCGTGCTTGGCGTGTAGCACTCGTACTTCCCCTGGTCTTCGGCTCGGAGCCTCTGTATCACCAGCCGGACCTTGTCCCCCGAGTCTCTCTCGACCCTCACCTCCCCATTCCTCACCCGGGCCTGAAACGGGGCATAGGGGAAACCCTTGTCTCTGGTGGACACCACTCCCATCTGCCTCCCACCAGCATCATCCCTGTAAAGGAACCACTCAAATTCCTGTGTACGTGGGCCTTCAAACCCTGACACAACACAGGGCAGGGAGAGGGGGAACCCGGCAACACGGTAGAGGGGTCCTATGGGAAGAGTCACGTCACGACACACAGCGTACTGGAGCACTGTGAAAGACAAATGGAGAGACAGCAGAAAGACAGCGATGAGTGGGCAGGAAAGATTGGAAATAGCAAAAGTGTCAATTTCTGTGGGTCACAGTCTTTGCCTCGCAGCATGTTTGGCGCATGTAGTCACCAATCAATATCCTGAGCTGATGACTGGCTAACAGGGAATCAATACATTAAATAGCTTAGGAGAAAACACTGGGGCTGAGCCAGCTTCCTCTGAATACAATTACACATTTAATAAATAAAACAATCTCAAGTTAGTAGGCTTCTTGGCTCATTCTCTGATTACTTTGGTTAATTTAAAAAGGAACAATTCACATAAAAATAGTTTCAGAAGATTTGCAGAGAAGAAAGAAGTGCAGTACATTTTCATTTGATTAAAAAAGCAAAAAGTGATGACTTCAAATTGCTTATTTTGTCGAACCAACAGTCCAAAACCCAAAAGTATTCAGGATACTGTTACAAGAGACAAACAAAGGCAGCAAATTCTCACAACTGGGAAACTGAAACTAGGTCACATCTGGCTTTTTTTTGCTAAATACAAATCATCAGAATGAGTAACTGATTATCAAAATAGTTGCTAATTTCTGTCCATCAGTAATCGCTTGATCAATTGATCGTTTCAGTTCATTTGACCAACTGAACAGTAACTTTTCCCAAAATTAGTTTTTCTGAACTCCAAGAGGTGCAGTAGGTGGTTTGCTTAGTAGTTCTCCATGAAACTGGTCTGTGGTTTATTGCGAGCAGCTGTGTTATTATATTTAGAAAAATATATTGCTGTTGAGGTATACAAATGTAATTGTTCAGTGCTCAAAGCAGCAAAACCCAAAAGGTCATTGAGAGAGTTGTTTTGGAAAGAGTTAAACCTGATATCTCCAAACAGCAAAACACACTGTGATTTAAAAAAAGCTTTCCTCAGCCCAAAAAGGGAAAATAAGATGTACTTCATCCCCATCACATTGCTCTTTAAGCCTGGCAACATCACAGATTTTCAGTGTTCTGGTTATGAACAAAAATATTCCGTGTGATAGCCTCAGGGGTGAGAGCCGCCAGCTTTCAGGTTCAAGAGTCATTGTATTTCACTCATTGTCTGGCTGCATACCCAAGTTCCCCTAGGCCCTTCTCTGAAATAGCTATAGGCGCAGACCAAGCTGGGTTATTTAAATACTGAACCCTTCTCTCAGCCACAGGCACTGAAACGTCTCCTGCTATTACTATTCATAAGGATGCCTACAACATTCGCATGCTGATGCCGAGTCAGTCAAAAGGTACCAGACTTCATTTAAAAAGGATAACATTACAGGTGACTGGATCTGCATCCCCAGAGACGCATACGCATTGTGAAGTAAATAACATCCTCTTTTCAAAGAGGGATGCGAGAATGTAATCTGACATAAAGCATGTTCTACTGGCTCTATAGACTTGATTCCTTTTACAATTTGTATTATTCTTTTATACACAAAGTATTCTTTTATGCCCATTTTAACCAACTGATAAACAAGATTATGCTAATATGAAAACAAGACAACTGAAATAACAAGAATTAACCTTTTAATAAAGGCCCAATGCAAAACAAATATGAAACAGAACAGAAATGTAAGAGTAACCCTACTCCAAACTATGGGAGTCGTGTACATTAAAAACTAGAGATGCACCAATTCAGATACTTCAGTGCTCTCTTTCCCCCCCAAATTTCAGAAAGTATAAACAATAATTATTTTATTAGAACACTGACAAAGAAAGTGCATCAACATCCCTTAAAAACGTGGTTAAAAACACACATTAGAAACCCCTAATAACTCACACAACTTAACACTGACTTCACCAGATATTTGACATGAAGCTGTTTATGTGGACAGACAGCCTGAGGTCAGACAGCCAATCCTCCTAAATAACTTGTTCCATACTGTGGAAACAAACTGTGAACATTGTTTTAACAAGGGTACACTTCTTAATGTTGCCTGCCTGGGAAATACACTCATTATCTCAAAATGCAAATGAGATGTGATTATCCCGACATAACAATCAACAAACATACGCCCACTGAACAAAGGATCAGCACCAACGAACACGCCCTTGTACCGTCACCCAAAACTGATAACTACCTGACCAACTAGAAATACAAGATGGGTGTGTTTTGGCTCTCCCCACCTATGAGCGTGCGTGTGTCTAAGACTTAAAAACAACTGGAGCTTTCTCACAGACTGAGCCACAGCCCGAAAACAACACGCCCATAGATAATGACATGGGAGACTAGTGGGAGGCTTAAGCGGATCAAGTCCTAATTAACATTGGGCTCGGACTGATCAGGCAGGGGGACACCACAGCTTGTGACAATGCTCGATACTGTCTGGATTAGACACTGGGCCACAAGGTGGGGGCCCCAGTTTTCTTATCGAGACCCCACAAAGAGATGCATGTTGGACCACAGACTGATTGAGGAACCCGTTTTATGTGGTTATTAGATATGATTCATATAATTATCAATTATATGTATGAATATACAGGTAGATACAAACTCTGTGGTGTTCTCTCTCTGTCTAAACTGTTAGGTTAAACAATGTTTTTTAAAATATTCTAATTCAATTTCAGTTGTATTGCCTTTGTCCATTTCTGCTTTTTAAAGTGAACTATAAAGCACCTCAGATGTATTTGGTTATCCATATTCATATGGGAAAATGTGGCGAGATAACCAAAGAGATAACTAAAGAACATATTCAATCTTCAAAAGCCCAAATTCTTCTTTGGGATTATTAAGTGCAGCATTTCAATATTCAATATTCAATATTCAATCTCATTTCAAAAGTAGTTGATAGGAATTTGCTTTAATGTAACATAAAGACAAGAAACTTAAAGGACAGAACATGGCTGCACTGAGGATAAAAAAACAAGTGGTGAAAACCTATAATGACCAAACAATAAACAGTGAATAAGAGGCATTAAAAAGAGGGTATAATAAACCAATATGTAAAACTAATGTTTCTATTGGCTTGGTATCAGTACCATAAAAATACCATTACACTGTCCTACTGGTGTGAATATTTACTTCCTGGTTACCAGCAGGAACTTTATTTTAGTGGCCAAAAACACCTGTTTCTCTGACACATCCAACCGAATAGACTGTTGGAGATGTTTTTATTTGTATTATTTGATAGTGGACTGTCCCACCACTCACTTCTGCATTTGGATTGTAGGGCAATACAATGATTTGCAGACTACAGGAATCCAATCAAATGTCCTCTTAAGATAACCACATTGATACAAGTACAAAATGGAAGGCCAAATCATGACAATACAGAGAGAGGTGCTGATATTTAAATGATTGGACTGCATGATAGAAACAATCACGCAAATGCATCTCCATGTGACAGATGGCGAGGCCGGCGGTATTTTTTTTATTTATTTGAGCTGAGTTAAACAGGTACACTGCGGACTGCACTCACCCCAGTGTAGAAATACGAATAATGCTGTTTTCATCGAAGCCATCATGGTCCTCATCTTCCCCCCCGATGTGCAGATGGATTATAGTGGCTCAGATTTCTCTCTCCGTGCTCCTTTGCTCGTTTATCGCCGATCATAGTTCATCCCGCCGTGGAGAGACCGAGTGTCTGCAAACGAAACCACAGACACGACCGGGTTATATGTGGAAGAAATAATAATAATAGCAATAATAATAATAATGTGCAACAATGTAGCCACACGCAGGAGAGTTAGCGGCACCCGTTTACTGCGAGGCGGATTAATATTAGTGCAACAAGTATTAATGTGCGAGGCTGTAAATTGAATCACCTTTTTCATGCACCGTCGCACCTCCGTTATCACACCAGCGGCTCCATAATATCCCGGTTTGGTTTTAGATTATACCGCCTCGACAGACATGCCGTCCAGCCCAGCCATAGAGTGGTTGGCATCACAGGAGGGGGGGTTGTGCTGTGTGTGTGTGTGTTTGTCGGTGACACAATGGGGAGGAGCATGCATGCAAACGACGCGCAGAGAGGAGTCAAACTACAGTGCCATTGGTCAAGAAAGCGACGGTGACATTTTGAACCAATGATAATAGAGTGTTGGAAAGAGGGTGAAGCACCATCGTTAAAGCGCAAGGGGGCGCCAGAAAAATCATAAAAACATTATACACGGCCTTATCAGGTGGGTTAATGATTTATAATTGGTGTGTTATTGACAGTAGTGGGTCAAAATATTCCAAGTAAATGTCCTGTATTAAAGTGAACGTACTCATTGTTCAGATAAACGTCCCCTGTCGGTGTTTTACAATTTTATGTGATGTTTTTTAAATATATATTACCGCAACATTAACGTTTATATGCATATTAGTGCTGTAGTTGTTAAATGCTGAACTCATTTTAAATGCTTTATATCCTGTTGGGTAGTTCAATTTACAGAAATGCATCTTATTCAGTCAAATCTTCATATGTTTGTCCTGTGAGAATCATATATTTCTTAAGTTTCTTCTTCTTTAAGTTCAGAGAAACTTTTTTTTTCATCTTTTACAGTTCAAGCTTTTTTTTTTTAGACCTGTGAAATCAGTTTAATTAACTGGAGAATCAGCTGTCACAACTGTATTATATTCATATAATATACATTATTAATGAGCGGACTGAAAGTTGTGATGCATTTATGGTGGAACAGTTCAGTTAGGGTCAGGATTAGCACCACAAAGGGCGAATAAATTAAATTAAATTAGAATAGAAACTGTCAACGATAAATACCCACTGGACTCCCATGTGCCCTTTCCATAATTATAATGAAGTTGAATGGGAGATTGAATTTGCATTGTCTTTTACAAACTTGGCTTCATGATTTTACCTCCTTGCGAATAAAAATGAAATGGAAGCGTTTGTCGACATTTTCATTTGACAAATGGGAGTATTAAACCAGGCTTGCTTCCATTAAAACTAGTAGGCAAGAAATACTTAACATCCATCCAGTCAAACACTATTCTACTGTCTGGATTTATAATCAAGGATATTTACCTAATAAAGGGAATTTAGGCTGTAGAGATGTGATTGAAAATGATATGAAATATAAGCTGTCAGTCATCCCCTTTCACTGGGCTCCTGTGGGTGGGTAATTACTGATATATTTCTGTGTCTGTCCTGAGCTGGCAGATCTACGTGTCAGCAGCTCTCTCACTGGGCTTGTTACTGAAATCTATAACAAATTCAGAAATTATTGTTGGGAACGAGGGAGCCGTTCTATCCACCTACTCAGAATTTCATTTACATGTAAACTTCACTGTTCCCTACAATACAGATTATATACTATGTTGTACTTTTGTTTATTATAACCCCTCTCCCTAACCATATCTATAGACATGGGATACATGCATGTGACAGCAGTATACAATGTTATTTCTAGAATCCCCACGGAAAGAAACTTTCAACTGTTTTAGGAAATACTTGGTCCATGCTGTGTGGGTGTGCATGTATGTTTGCATATGATGTTTTTTTCACTAAGACATTCAGCTTCATTTTGAGGGTCCTGGTATTGTGCATGCTTCCTCACTGTCACTGTCATGACTTACTTGGACACTATAGAATTAGGTATTATTACCTGTAGTTTTACTACTATGACAAGTCAAAATGTCTGCTGAGAAAAAAGGCCTATTGCTTACCTTTATCTCTGTGCTTGCGTATGTACAGACAAGCATGTATTATGTTTATATTTGTGTGGGTCAATAATTTTTGTTTTTTGTTCAAGTGTGCCATTGTGTGTGTGCTTGCAAACTTGCACAAATAATTGTGTGTCATGCACGGATCATATACAAGAAGAACTGAGTAAGAGACTCAACCACAAGATGGCGACAACCAATTGCCGTACTGAGAGCTCCAACCAGCTATATGAAGGATAAAGTCTGTACATGTACCACACAACAAAAACTTCAAACTAGTGAAATAAGAATATAAAAAAGATATAGGTGTCTGTCAGTTTTACTATTTATTGATATCATATAATGATACTGATATATAATGAACACAACCTTTTGTTAATGTCCTTTTATACTGATATACAACTTTTATTCTTAGTTCTAAGTTCCTAAACCTTGAATCATTCATACAGTATGTGAGGTTTCTGCAACAACAATGTTCACGAGCTGACAGTGATGTAAAACAGCGATAAAACCCTGCTAACATTTCTGTGGCCTGCAAAGGCAGTGCTGCTACATTCCGGCCTTCTCTGTCTCTTTTTTGTATTTCCCTCAAAGGAAAGGCAATAAATGAGTAATCAGTTATTTAACTATTTTTCCAAACGTGAAGTAGAGTCAGGAGAAATATCACAGCTTAGAGTAAAAACATGGAGAGACATTAAAGCTGAGTGGGGCAGGATATGGGGTCATATACGTGGTTATGAGTATAATGGATGTGGGATGTTCATTAGTGGACAGCCACTCAGATGCTGCTTACTCTAAAGAGGACTTATGCCATCAGAACACACCTCATTAATGGTACCAGTTGTCCTCCATCCTGTCTAGTTTCCTTTCCTTTCCCCCCTCACTCCTCTCCTCACTTTAGGCTACATGGAAACATGGATGACTTCACAGTGTGGCTCGGCAGTGAGAGAGGGGAAGTCATTAGGGTATTCTGGGTTAACAAGGCGGCAAGCAGGATATGCAGACTTCAGCAGGAGCCTACACCAGCACTGAGGGATGGCACTCATGCAGAGTAAACTTCCTCAGCCGTATGGCTTCCAATATATCACAATTTTTAACCGAGTTGGACAGTTAGAGCATGATGTAGTCTGATCCACATCCAGGGGAATAAACCTCCAAAAGCTGCATTGATCTGCACTTTGTTTGTTGTGCAAATGTCTGTGTATTACTTGTGACAGGCTAACTTAAAATCCCAAAGTCTTTGCTAGTAGTTAAACTCCAACATTAACTTCTACTAATGCTTAGCAACTGTAAGGTGTCAGTTTTATACCTCCAGTCAGTTGTAGAAAGTAAATAAGTACATTTAAAGTACTATACTTATGTGTACTTATTAGTACACATACTATATTAGTTATAGTATTTCCTGCTACTTTATACTTCGACTCCACCACATTTCAAAGTATTTTTTATACTCAACTACATCTAATTGTCAGTTACAGTTCCTAATTACTTACTTACTTATTACCTACATATGACATTGTTATACAGTACACTGAGCTACAATAAATTAAATACTTCTGATACTTCTTCGATTTCAACATTAAAATGCTACTTACACATTCATATAAATATCAATAATCAAATAATACATATTTTATATATATATTCAATGAGGCACTAGAAACACTACAGCTTTTGTCCACAGGGGCCACCAGAATCAACACAAAATTAAAGTTAGTTATAGAGACTTTAATAGAAGCATATTGATTAGACCAGTTTTGAGTAAATATATGAGTGTTTTTCTTCATTTACTTGTTTAAATTGTGGTATTACTACTTTTACTTCTCTGCCTTTTTTAACATTTTGACCACTACAGGTCACAGCAGAACCAGCCACCATCGACAGCCCCTTATAAAGTTGTTATGGCAAAAGTTTTAGCAAATAATTGTCTATTTACACATCCAGCAGACACAGAGAAGGATTAGCATTTATTTGGAGATGTCTTTCTGGCTACCTGACAAATAAATCCAATTAGTACTTTCCTTTTAGCTATATTCTGTGTTTCCACCCACGCCTGCTGGAAATATCTGTGTCTCTAGCTAAAGCAAAACAAGGCACTAAAGACGTTAGGCTCTTAAGAGCTAAGGTGAACTGTAGAGTCGGGTGGTTGTGGGTTTGTCAGTACAAGTGACCCTTTTCACATTAGACATTTGAGCCATTGTTTATAGAAATGTGTCTAAAAAAATCTAAATCCTTCTTTCACCAATGCATTGAGAACAAATTTCAGCACAATGATGATCTTTATTACATTTTCTCTCCAGTTTCCATACTTGTTCTTCTTCTCACCTTCTTTGTGCACTTACTCCCACTCTGTCTCTTTTAAGGCCACTATAGACTAAACTGTGACCTACTGGAGACTGTCTCTAATTACTTTGTACTACAGTCACTATAGTCAGGCAAACACCCCTGTCATCGGTGGGACTTCACCAGCCAACACTGTCAAGAGGATCCTTTCACTGTGTGTGGCATCGGTTCATCCTGTAGATATAGACATATTGGCACCTCTTGTTCATTCATCTTGTTCATCTTCCTCTGAAATTATTTTCATTGGCACAGACAGACACAGTTTCTGTTTGTTTCTTTCTCCACCTCTTCATCCTTCCACAATTTCTTATGTCAGCCACGGTTTTTGAGTATGACTTGCTGTAAATCCTTCCTTTTTATTTATTTTATCCTTCCCGTTTATTTCTCTCACATATAGATACAGTACATACAAACACATCCTGGTGCTGACTATAGATCATCCTTCCACAAGCCAGGCAAATGTACACATGTACTATATATGGGCTCCATTTGTTCTCCAGTTCTGTCAGCAGTTTTATGACCATGCTGTCTCAGTCTCACCACTACAGGGGACACACACTCAGCCCGTCGTGGTGATGGAAGGACCATTGCTAGACAAAACAAAGAGAAGGAACAGGGACATGTACACATACAGCTAATTTACTGCTGACAGGATATTAATAACTTTCTCTCAGAGGACCTTTGGTTTTGTAGGTTTCCTCTCTTTATTACAGAATGCAACAACAATGTTTATTTAAGCATTTGACCACATCATTTGACTTCTTTTGGTCACTGTCTTAAACTTGAAATGTGTGAGGTTGATCAGTCAGTTTTTCTTGGAAGAGAAAACCTTTTAGCTTTTCAAAAGTCTTTTAAAAGAGGTGTAAAAAAAAAAAAGAAAGAAGCAGATATATATATAGCACATATATATATAACATATACTGTATGTAAGACTCCATGAGGGTAAAACCAGATGTAATGTCGTACCCGTATAA